GTAACCGTACGCTCTTAAAATGCAGGGCATGGTACAATTTAAAACTGATAGCATTGGCTAAGGCAGGGGTGTCAAACTCAATTTAATCGTGGGCCGCATCAACATTATGGTTGCCCTCAAAGGGCCGGTTGTATCTGTAGGACTATATATAAATGTATCTAACCTTTATCAGAAATTTCCTCTGCATTCGATTATCACTGGTTTTAGTCATAACTTAATACCTAGATCTGAAAAGTAGAAGTCTAGGAAATGGCCCGGTGGGCCGGATTCGGCCCCTGGGCCTTGAGTTTGACACATGTGGGCTAAGGTAAAGGGTTTTAGTCATAACTTAATACCTAGATCTGAAAAGTAGAAGTCTAGGAAATGGCCCGGTGGGCCGGATTCGGCCCCTGGGCCTTGAGTTTGACTCATGTGGGCTAAGGTAAAGGGTTAGGACCCAATAAGGTCAGATGCTGTGGCCAACTGCACAAAATCTGGCCAGCAAAAGAATCCTGAGACTTTGGATAAGCGTTGACCTCTTTTAAATGTCCACAGGGGGTCATCTTCTGACTTCCAGACCGCTGTTACGTTGGAGGACAGATATTGTTGCATAATACAGCTTTTTTTTGGCAGTCGTACAGCAATCTCAGCATTCACGGGGCATGAATGCTGGTAAATGCGTAGGACAAAGGGCAAAAACACAAATGGCAGAAGCCGTGTCCTTCTTGAGAACAAAAACATGAGCTTGGGTCACCAAGGAAGGCAAATCCGACCCGTACTGGACAGAGCAAGTATATGTTTTCGTGAAAGCAAATGAATACAGTTCTATGAGGGAATGATTAGTTACCGCTACGGTAACCTTGGGCTGGAGCCAGGGCCGGATTTACTCTCTCAGCTGCCCCAAGGCCAGGTTCCTCAAGGCCCCCCCCCCCCAGACCTGCCCCCCCCCCCCATTGGAGAATGGCAGACCTGAGTGATCACGACGGTGATATCACCAGGATCACTTGTACAGAACATTTAGTTCTGCTTGCCCAAAGCAGGGCTAAATGTAGAAAACAACTACCCGCCCGGCGGCCGGAACTGCATATTCCGGGCATCGGGAGATGGGAATTCCACACCACTGCTGCCCCTCTACTCCCTGCTGCCCCGAGGCCGGGCCTTGGTTGGCCTTGTGGAAATCTGGCCCTGGGTGGAGTTTGTTAGTTTGAAGGTGCTGACCAAACCAAAGATTTGTAGTCCCAGCGTTAGAGTTCATGCCTAGCCATAAAAAAATTGACTGATGAGCTTCAAAAACATGCCCTACATTTTGAAAGCCGGTGAATTTTTTGTTTTTTCTTTTTGCATTCTGAATTTTTCCAGCATGACATTTTTTTTTTTTTACCAGTCGCAATTAGTTTTGGTGAAATCTGTGGCTTAGATATACGTGTTTGACAATAATGTAGGTCACTTCGCTAAGGTGGCATTTGGCTCTAGTTTTTTTCTCCTCCTCATCTGATCCCTGTTGTGTTCTCATAACCTTCCAGATGCACCAATGGTCTTCTCCCAACCCAAGAACGCTACTCCTTCACAGTAAGTGTCTTCATGCTCATACCGTCACTTCCTGTCTGCTCATTTCACACGGCCTGTCCGTAGCTTTTTTTTAACGTTTGACTCGTCTTGGCTCCATGTCCTTTTGCCTTTTTAACCAACTGGCCGGCTTTGAGGGCGTCAACGGCCGAGGTAGACGTGTGGTGGTTTGGGAACGGCCTCTTGTGTTTTTTTACAGTTGCGTGTCCTCATAGTCATACATTTTTCTCCATGATTGCACAGAAGTGAAAATTTGATTTATGGTAGGGAGAAGGTAATTCGGAAAGCCATAGATTATAAAACCCTAAGGCTACATTTCCTTGTTGGAAAGAGGTCACGTCATGTTATCTTCTGTAGGTGGTTGGGCATGGAAATGAATTCTATTCCAGTCTTTTTAATTAAATTTGCCTTGCAAATTTTTGTTTTTCCCAAATTAATGGAAACACGTGACTTAAGTCACGACTCAAATTTTTTCAGTCCTTCACCTTTAGTTCATATTTGTAACATTTATCTGTTTCTGATATGTAGAGTTGCAGGACTCATCAGGGTTTGGCAAAATGTCGATGTTCCACTGTTTTGAGAACAATTCTCGTTGCTTCTTTGGAAATGTTTACATGTTGTTTTTTCCCCCCCCCCCCC